TCCTATGTTGTTTTCTCTCGATAGTAAGCGATATAATAATCTCAATATTTTAATGCTTTTTTTGAATTGTCCCGATATTGAAGGGTTTTTTGTATATCGCATAGTTCTGGCATTAACAAACGAAGCTAGAAATACATACGGTCTTCGACACCAGGATTATCAGCGTTATAGGTGAAATCGATAATATAATATCTAGCTGGTCTAATTATTTGTTTTTATTCAATTTCTAAAGAATATTTGACAAATAAAAAGTATGAAAAAACAAAATGATTTATCATTGATGATATTCAACTTAACTGTGCAACTTTAATCAATATATGAAAATATTATTCAGAAAGTATTGCACTCAAAAATTACATCGTCTACGTGAGGTCTTACAATTTACTCATAATAAAAGCGGCAAGGCTTTTCAGAAAAGAATTGTGACTGATGATGTGCTAACTGATGTAAGGTAATAAATAAATACCGGTCGATGTCCGGATATTTTGATGTCCGCTGTTTAAAATAAATATAATTGTTTGCATGCATGTAAATTACAGATATTTGCAAATTCTTTTATTTGATACGGAGCGTTCGTGGAGTTATGCGATGGAGTTGAAAATAGCTTCGAGATCAGCTAGCGCGGATACACGGAAAAGACAACATTTAATAAAACGCTTGAGGAAAGCTTCAAAATATGGTGAAATTCTGGCGAATTTATGTAGCGCAGAAAAGGGAAAAGTAGATGCACGTACAGCTTTAGATGCGCAGGTTTTTATTTTCGCTGTTTAGCCTTATTTTTTTTTTTAGCAATAAAAGCATTAGAAATCAATCTTTAAAATTAGGCTTATTCTGCACTGATGTCTGGTTATTTGCTCTTTGAAAAACAATCATGGCAAGCTGCTTTTGACAAATTTGCCGCAGCAAGGTAATAATAAATTAGACACCCGAATTTGATAAAAAATTTCTACTCCAGGATACAATTTATTAAAATGAATTATTGATAATTTCTGTATAGAACCATTTATAAAAAATTATCGAGTGCTGGAACATCGCATCAGGAAGCTTTGTGTCAATCGATTATTGATGATATTGATCCGAATATTCGATATTGTGCATTCAAATTACGTTTGGGAACGGATGGGACCAGAGATGTAGAGGAACTGATGAAAATCAATCTTGGAAAAAATAAGAGTGCCAAGTTGGATTTGTTAGAAGCACAAGTTGAGGTATATGGATTTATAATGTATATTCATATCTCATTATAAATTATTTACAGATGGATTCCAATATTCTTTTTTAAATAGTCAGTACTTTCTCAAAAACGACCCGAAAAAGAAGCTCTTCTGACGTCAATTACATGGAAAGACCGTATAGTGCCATTGAAAAATCCTGATTTGGCACTTCATATTCTGCGAGCACAAGAAGCCACGCTTAAACTAGAAAAATCAGATAATGCTGGAGAATCAACGAAAATGGAATTATTTGACAAAGTGCTAGAGGCATACGGAGATGCTGAACGTGTTGCTAAAACTGCAATAAAGGAAGATGCGGTAATTTGATGTTTGTATTTTTCAAAGTAGTTCGAAGATATCCACATGATTTATTATTTTTTTTTCTTTGTTTAGGTTGCTACTGCCAAAGTCAAATCTTCAAAATCCGAACAAAATACGGCAAATCTGAATTTTATTTACACTTATGTCGCATACAACTATTTATCTCGTAGAATTCAACGTAATTTGATGCTAGTTGACTCCTTAAGACGAAGTTTTGAACAGCATGAAGAACAAGATACCGGAAAGTTTATTATCGGAAAACTTCAGGATATTATTAAATTATATGAAAACGTGTTGCAGGTATAATGTTATTGAACATCGTGGTTTGATTTAATATAAAATATTTCACCATTAATTAATTAAATTTACTTTTATCAGAGTATTATCGAAATTAGTGAACTTCCGGCGGTACAAGACGATTTCGCTTTATCTCAAGAAATTGAAGCAAAACTTTTATACTATAAAGCAAGCAAGTAAGTTCCTCTTTCACCGTTCTTATGTAATTTCTTACATTCTCATACAATATTACTATTTATAAAATCATAGGACCTTTTATGTTGGTAATGCTTATGCTATCACAAATCAGTACGTTGAGGCTATAGAATTATATGAACGTGCTAGAGAATATATCGCACAAGCAAAATCGCTGGTAGCACAAAGTTCACCCGACGCTGAAGACGTGTTGATATTTACGCAAGAGGACTTGACTCGATTAGATAATTTATTGAGGGGTCATAAATGTAAAGTACATGCTGAATGGCATTTGGCTCATGGT